CTCAAAATAGCATACAAATATATTGAAAAAGAAATTGAACTGCAACGAGACAACTTGACCGCCGTCTCGTTAGACTTTAATGTCAAATCAGAAAAATTTCGAAAAATCGTTAGAAGAATACAAATTTTAAATTTTAAATAAAAACAAAAAGATATTGCCACAATTATATCAATGAAGTGTTATAATAATAATGTTGATTGAAATTCTAAATTCATCAGACCTGCTTGAAATCGATAAATCCGCCATCAGACATTGGAAATATCTCAACTAATATAACCTTCGAACTTGTTTGCACATTCTCGAAAAATATTTTCTATACGTTGATTTCAATAACTGAACAAATTCGTTGGTTCTCCACGATAATGTATTAAATAGAAGCATGACAAGTCTGTTGATCAAAATATCTTGAACTATTGATCACATTATCTTTCCTAGAGAAAACTTAAACGAGTATTATGATTTAGAATGTTCCTAATCGATTGCATTCCACCACTGATTTTTCATTCTTTTTCAAGAATATTTTTGCACAATTCAATAAAAAAAGATATACATACGCTTATTCATCTGTTTCAAGTGCGACCAGTGTTGTTTCCCTAAAACAATAGTGTTCAAAGACACAAGAATGAAAAGAACGTTGTAATATAGACCCTGTACTATACCTAATATTTCAAAATCTGACATTTGAAGATCGGCAGCAGCTTTGCCATCCAGCAGCCATCGGGACTTATTTTTTCGGGATTTATTGGAAGTTTTTAATAAGTCCATAAGCACTTTGGGATAAATCGCACACGGTTCCTCAACACATACCAAGTGTGAGTGTGGTTGTGGATGTTGGTGTGCTGACATATCATAGTAATCAATAAATTCTTAATAAATAAATCCTGTTGAAAAAATATATCTCGAAAAAATAAATCCCAACAGCCCCTCTTGTCATCACGTATCGATAATATACTGACTTTGACAAATACGTTACGCGTTGTCTAGCTCATTGTCGTGTATGCGAACAACAGCGACAAGATTCGATGATAGTTGATTTTCAACATTCATTTTCCGTGAAACAATCAGTCGTGCACATAGACATTTGAGCGAGAGCTTCCGAGTGGCGTGTAGAAGTTCTTGAACTTCGGGCACGTGTGCTCGATCTTCTGGTAGACAACCTTGAAAATCAGTGCAATCAAGATGAGCATCCGCTTCGAGAAGTAGTTGAATGACTGGTCTTGCAGCATCGACATTTGAACACTCAGCAATAACATGCAATGGTCTGCTGTTGTTGTATAGGTTAATTTCATTCACATCGGCTCCGCATCGAATCAATAAACGAACAACAGACAGAGTTGAGACACTAAAACAAACAACATAATTTTATTGTTTAGCAGAATTTTCAGCCCTACATGTATGAAAAAATTTGAGAGGAAGAAATAGCTCACTTAAAGCGGGACTTTTTTAGACAAGCTGAAAAGTAAGAATTTGAAACGAATAAATACCTGAACGAACCCAGCGTTTGAATTTGCTTATTCATTGCAATTTTATGAACAAAGTGACTCAGAAGACGAAATTTAAATCCCCACAAGGTTATTTTTTGACGAGCAGCCCGACGAACGAGACTTAAAATGATACATCGCTCGTTGTAGGTTGTTTGCTTCAATTCGATTATCTATGAAATAAAAAGAATAACACATAAATAACAAATATTTTCTCGGAAACCCAATGAAAAAGATCGATACGTCTATTAGTTTTATCTCTTTACAACATATATCTATTAGATAACTTTCGAATGATTGATTATGATCATTTGTTCAAACAAATTCTTTAACAGTATTTCATAAAGAACGCTTTTTTCGGAAGGATATTTTGATCACGAGATCTTTGTTCTATATTGCACTTTTCAAGAAACAAATTCAATTCTCTACAGGAAAAAATCTTACTGTTATAGACAGCGATAAGCAGGGGTGCAGAATCTACCCGTGTGCGCCGACGGTCGTCGGGGGAAATTTTTTAAATTCCTTTACAGTTGGGGAAATTTTTGAAGGTTTAGTAGTGACATTTGAGAAAATTTTTTGGTATTTTCCCCTGTAGGGAAATTTTCGAAATGAGTCTTGGTTTACCTGTGTATATCAGGGAAGCCATGTAATGGCCGCTTTTTTTCTTCTCATTCAACTTTCGAAAGAGCCATTTTCTATTTTCATAAAATAATTACTATAAGTGTTATTAAAAGAAAAATGGCCGTTATACGATAATCTAATTATGCATGTAAAACAATCGATCAATGCTCTTCACAAATTAGTTAGCAGTGTCACATTTTCATAAAATTGTTTATCGCTCAATCATTAGTATTCGTTGATTGCTTTTCTTTCTTTGTCTGTGTTCTCAAAAATCAGTTTGCGTACGATTTGAACATTCTTCATTCAAAAAAAAGTAATTCGAATAACAATGTACCCAAGTAAACAACAGGTGTCATGCTTTTATTGTGAATGGGTCGGACGAAAAGATAAAGCAAAAGATCATTGGAAAAAATATCATCCTGAAGAAAAATTTAAGTTGAAGATTTCAGAAAACAACTTGACTAAATATCATTTTCGAAAAGGAGTAACTGAAGAATCCACAACAATTCCCAATGATGATGAAAATATCGATATATTTGAAGAGCAACAACAAGCAAATATTACTTTATTGCCTCCATGTCTACCAACCTCAACATCAACAGTATCAACAATGAATAATCCCACACTGCTGTCAACAACAAATCTATTACATACACCATCAGTTCCAAATGCAACATCAGATATAAATACATCGTCAGGTCCTACAGAAAAATTTAAAATTGGTGAATTCTATGCAAGATCAATTGACATTCATGGCACAACAACTTACGAAAATTAGTAATTCAATTGAAATTATTCAATTAGAAAAAAATAACAAAGCATCATCATCATCACCTTCACAACAAGATGAGATCGAACAACTATTTGAGAACATTACATGTTCAGATGATTCCTTTAATTTAAAATGTTTAGAAATAAATTATCAATTAGATATGATCATATGTATTCCTTGCTGCACATAGAAGACACAACCCTAGGTGAACATTTTTTTTCATGCTCTTGACCTGCGCAGACCTCAAGATTTGTCCATAGCGCATGACTTTCTTGCTCAAGACAAGCGCTTGAGTGTTTGCATGAGTCACAAGAAACTCATGCGCTCAACTCAAGAAAATGCAACTATGAATTTTTATTAAAAGTTGAGTTATTTTTGAACGTAAAATTAAAAAAAATTAAAAAAAAGTTCCTAGATAATAGGAACGCTTGGATCAGAATTCAAGCACATGAGCAAGAATATCAAGCTATAGGACAAGAAGTTCAAGAGATTGAGCTCGATAAAAGGTCTCAAGTCTTGCCTCAAGATTTGTCCATAGCGCATGACTTTCTTGATCAAGATTCTCAAGTGTTTCATGCGCAGACCAAAAGAAGTTCGACTAGAACGTAAACTTGAAAAAACTAAAAAACCTCCTTAATAACAGAAACGCTTGGGTAAGAATTCAAGCGCATGGGCAAGAATATCAAGCGATAGAACAAGAAGTTCAAGAACTTGAGCTCACCGAAATGGTCTCAAATATTGCCTCAAGATTTGTCCATAGCGCATAACTTTCTTGATCAAGATTCTCAAGTATCTCCTGCCCAGACCAAAAGAAGTTCGTCTAGGGAAGCACCAAAATATTTAATAAGTTCAATTAATTCTTCATTTGGTATGTTTCAACACATTGAACAAAAAATAGGTGAACCTCAATCACAAAAATTTGCAATGTATTAAATATTAGTGGCTTGCTTGAATAAGTATTTTCATCCAGAAAAGTCGGTATTTAATTGACTCTCATACCTGGGGAAATTTTTCGAAAAAATTTTACCGTCGGGGGAAATTTTTAATTTTACCGGCAGATTCTGCACCCCTGGCGATAAGATTGAAAGACAATCACATCCATGGCAAGGATTATTGTCATCCATTATCGATCGTGTGCTTTTTTGTACATTTGAGTTTAATGCAAAAACCAATACTTACATAGCTGACGATTCTTATGAGAACCCTCAGGGATTTTAATAGTTCTGTATTCCTTCTGTTGAGTATCCATATGAACACTGACGCCAATGAGTTGATCGGTATTATCCCGTTTTGATTTAAAATTTCAATAAAAACGTAAGGAAGTTTATTGAGATTTTGTATGTGCCAATCTAACAAATTTTCGTCAAGGTTTTTGGCACGCATCACCAACCGAGAGCCGTGCAATCGTAACTGAAGACATCGATGAAATAACCTATTCTCATAGTATACATCGATTTGTTTGGTTATAAGTTGAAGATGAGAATAAATTTCGCCACTTTGGCATGAGAGTCGTTCACTAATGAGTAATGCGTGCATACGCATTGCATTGTCATGATCCCGTATGGACTGAAGTTCGTCGATAGTTGTACATTCTCTACAAAACTCATAAGCTTCATGAACAATAGGGTTTTGGGATGGTTTTCTTAGATTTAAAGTTGATTTAAGAACCTCGTACAGCTTCTCACGATTGTACCTATCGCCTTCGATTGTGTATCTACACGCGAGCAATGTCATCTCATCGAAGCCTTGCTGACAAGGCAATATGCCAAGAAGTAAATTTACTATAGGTGTTAAGTTATGATGAATTGCTAACATCAATGGTGTGAAACCAAACATATTTTGTTTAAATTGTCCATTACAATGATGGATAAAAACTTCTGCAACTTTTACGTGTCCGTCTTGGATGGCATAATCTAGAGCAGTTCGTCGTAGCAAATTGAGTGCTCGAGGATCAGCACCATACTTTAAGAGAATATTAACAATACCGAAATGACCATCACATGTAGCTTCATGCAGTAGTCCATTATAAGATGGGCACCCTGCCCTTAACAGATACTCGAGGATTGTCTCATGACCCCTTACAGCAGCTATTCCTAAGTAGTGGGAATTATGTATATCCGCATGACAAAATTCGACAAGTTCCCGAACAAGATTGAAGTAGCCTCTTCTACATGCGTACGATAGTGGTGATTCACTGAAAGGAGACACAACATCGACAATCATTCTATCAAGATCACCACAATGGATCTTTTTCATTAGAACCTGAATACAGTTCATATGTCCAAGTCGAATCGCGCGCAACAATATCGTTTCTTTGTCGAAGACTTTCTCGTTTATCGGTTCAAAAGAATCTATTTTTTGAGTATTGAACAGATTTACAGGTGGTACTATGCAATCGAGAAGATTTGCATCATCATGATCGATAGCATCGTATATCTCACCCCATTGTGCTGCTATATAGTGGTACTCAGCCGATGTTTGCTCATCGTCTTCGTAATCTCGTTCAATGTGATACATTGCATCATCTTCTGACTCGTATCGAGAATCAATCAATTGATCTCTCCTGTATGATCGAGCCGTTCTTCGAGGTATTTGTGCTTTGCCTAAAAACATTTCAGAAAAGAATTATTATACATGCTAAACTCAGGATATCATACTTGATGATGAACATGACTGATGATGACTTTTGTTTTGTCTCGCTGGAATCATCTGCTTACGTCGTTGGTATAACTGATAAGATTTGTGAAAGATTGCCGTTGACGCCATATTTTCGTTGTCACAAATAGTTGTTAATCTATAATGTAGAAGATATAAAGGTGTTTGTCCGTTCTTATATAGTACTTGCCATAACAGACGTCAAAGTAACATTC